TGATCAAAATGGCTTATTTCAACCTCCTTGTAAGATTACTTCACTCATAAACCTGTAGGGCTCATTAAAGCTGACTCAAATTTGAAACTTCTCTTGAGTTATTATGATTTGGCTCAGCTGTCATTTCTGGTTAAAAAAGAAGCACTTTTTTTCTTCTTTAGCAAGTTCTTTTCTTCAGGCAGTAAGTCAGCTTATGTATTTAGAAGTAACTAATTTACCTGAAATGTAATAATGATTTGAAATAGTAATCTATATGGCTACAACTCACTTAATTTCCTATAGAGGGGCCACAATAATTATGACTTATAGATCTTCTATGATCTTCTTCAACTTCAGTTGCTGGATTTTTGTTTACTATTGTGTTTTGTTTAGCAATTTTGTTATTGTTCTTCTGGAATTCAACGCTCATTTAAAAATAGGTTTTGAAAATTAAGTCAAAATACATGCCCGTACATTCTCTGCATTTCTGAAAAGGAAACTTGTCAGCTTAAAAGTTATCAAAATGCTGCAACTTCTTTAAGCATTTGATATTCATACTGACATCCTTGACCAAGTGATGTTGCTAAATCTAAATAATAATTAAGCTCATCGTCTCTAAACACGCTATCTGATAACATGACTTTATCTTGATTCACAAATTTATGAGACCACTTTACTGGAATGCCATAAGAGGTCAGCCTAACTCAAAATATAAATTCTGTCAGCAGCAATTTGTCTGCATCTTAAATTAAGGAATCAATATTTCAAACCGCCTTCTCTTTCTTAATTCGAACATTTGGCAAAATAATGACGGAGTTTCCAATTTCTATATGATGCCCAAAGCTCCAGTGGAGAAAAAATATACAGGGACCACAAATGTTCTGGATGCAACTGATTTTCTATACATGCCTGTTTTTTTCCTTCTTCCCCTCTTTGCATTTTTGCTACAGAAGTAGAGAAGACCAATGCTGATTTCACGGTGACAAAATTCCAGATAAAGAAGCTTTTAAAATAATTTGAGATCTACGGTGACATTTAAACACACACAAAAAAATAAATAAATAAACAGGAATCGTTCAACAAGGAAGGTTTGGAAATGCAGCACAATTCATTGCTCCGCAGTTTTTGTGTTGTAGGCGAGTCCAAGAGTTTGCTTTCATTGACAAAAGGTGATAAATGGCTGGGAACCGTGCCCTTTGAAAGCAAGCTCAGCTCTTTGGAGCAAACATGAATACTAGTTCTTTCTTTTGCAAACACGAGGGGGAAAAAAAAGCCTAGGAAACCTTGTAGGCTCACAAAGCTGTTTAAAATTATGATTTCCAGCCTTCTCTCGTCTTCTCCTCTTCTCCTGCAAAGCCTAATTTCTTTGTTTTTTCCTGGGATGCTGTACAATTCTAAATTAAAGGCATCCCCTAAAATCAAATGGAGCTGCCAATTTGAAAAGAAACAAGACAGCCATCAGTAGCCAGAAAGAAGCTGCAGGACTCTCTGAATTACATCTGAACAGTAGTCAAATTTTGCACTAAAAACACACACACACACACACACACACAAAGAGTTTCAGGATTCCTAGGGGCTAGGCTTAATCCTTTTCCAGACCCTGTGGAGAAGGGACTTTTGTAGCCTTATAGCCAGACTGGAAAAAGACAGATGAGTATGAAATAGCCAGCTTTCTGATATTAAATGCAAAATAAAAGAACGGCTGTAGATCAAGACCGGGTTTTGAAAAAAAGCTGTTTGATGTGACAGAATCTACTCACTACATTAAGAATATTGAGAGAGAGATGCATGATATAGTTACAAATTTGGTGTGATTAAAAGAAGAAAAAAATTTAAGGGTGGGGGAGGAGGAGGTTGCTATATGAGATCCGGAATATCATGCCCGCAGCTCTTTTAAAGGCAGTCCTCAACTTACAACCATTTCTTTAGTGACTGTTCGAAGTTACTGAAAAAAGTGAGTTATAATGTTTCTCACACTTATGGCCGTTTGCAGCCGCTCCATGGTCACGTGGTCAGAATTTGGGTGCTTGGGGCAACTGACATGTACTTGTGACAGTTGCACGGTTCCCGAGGTCATGTGATCGCCATCTGTAACCTTCCCCAACCTGATTTTGACAGGCAAATTCAATGGGGGAAGCCGGATTTGCTTAATAACCGCACAATTCACTTAACAAGGGGAGTGATTAGCTTGCCAACGGGGGCAAAAAAAAAAAACCCTTGTAAAAAGGACAACCTTCACGCAACAACTGCTTTGCTTAGCAGCGGAGAATTTGGGGTTTCATTTTGGTTGTAAGCCAAGGATTACAACCAAAGTATTTGGATATATAATATTACAGTACATCGGGATACAGATCTTTCCTGTAAAATAAATGTCATTCCACTTAGCCCAACTTACTTCTGAGTAGATATGAATGCTCATCACTGATAGCCATCAGAACAAATCCCAGCACCCCTCACATTCCCCCCACTCGCCCCATTACTAGATTCAGGCCATTCAATTTTCACAAGCAGCAGAGGACACAAATCTGAGCCGATCTGCATGCCTGGCAGAACAGAACAGAAAAGCAGAGTTGGAAGGGATCTCGGAGGTCTTCTAGTCCAACCCCCTGCTCAGGCAGGAAACCCTATTAACATTTCAGACAAACGGTTGCCCAATCTCTTCTTAAAAACTTCCAGTGTTGGAGAAATTTACAACTTCTGGAGGCAACTCATTCCGCTGATTAATTGTTCTCACTGTCAGGAAAGTTCCCCTTAGTTCTAGGTTGCTTCTCTCCTTGATTAGTTTCCACCCATTGCTTCTTGTCCTGCCTTCAGGGGCTTTGAATAACAGAGTTGGAAGGGTCCTTGGAGGTCTTCGAACTCCAATTTGCTGCTCAAGTAGCAAACCCTATTATCATACCGGACAAATGGCTGTTCAGTCGCTTCTTGAAAACCTCCAGTGACCCACAACTTCTGGAGGCAATTCATTCCGCTGATTAATTGTTCTCAATTCTCCTTAGTTCTAGGTTGCTTCTCTCCTTGATTAGTTTCCATCCATTGCTTCTTGTCCTGCCTTCAGGTGCTTTGGAGAATAGGTTGACTCTCCCCCCTCTTCTTTGTGGCAACCCCTCAGATATTGCAACACTGCTATCATGCCCCCCCCCCCCATGGCAAAGGAGTGACACTCCTAAGGCAAAGCAGGAGAGCATCTTTGATGGCTCACCAAAACACATAGATACTAGCAATCCCAAATTCAGAGGACACCGGGTGCGTGCGTTGTAGTCACTTTTTCTGGCTTTTGTAAAGTCTTAAGTGGGAACGATGGAGGGCAAAAGAAGAAGGGGACGACAGAGAATGAGGTGGCTGGATGGAGTCACTGAAGCAGTCAGCGTCAGCTTACATGGACTCCAGAGGATGGTAGAGGACAGGAAGGCTTGGAGGAACGTTGTCCATGGGGTCGCGATGGGTCGGACACGACTTTGCAACTATCAACAAAGGAGGAACCGACTGCATGCAACGAAGTGGAGACTGAAGTGGGTTGGGAACACAGTGTGAGTCCCTTCTCACATGTGTGGGACAGGGAAAGCAGTGTGCATGCCTCCGACTGTGTGTTTGTGTGCATGTGTGTGTGTTGGAGTGGGGAGGAGTGAGGTGGGGGGGGGGAAGGAAGCCACACACCAATCAGGGAATCCCAGATTCTTTCTTGCAACACAAAGCCAGCCTGCTTTCTCCAAGTGGTACCCAGAGAGTTTCAAGAATCTCAAGGAAATTCGGAATCCTTCCTTGGTAGGGAAGAAGGATGCCAAATCGTTGGATGGAAACTGCCAGATTTAAATCTTTTTTTAAACCTCTTTTCTTTTAGCCCAGAACCAATAAGCCTTGGACAAGCTTTAAGGGATCAGAGTTTTTGAGCTAGAAGGATCATGTGCCGTTATCATAGTATTTGCAGAAAAAGCGCCCGGTTCGATGCCCTGACCAGAAACCGGGAGACAGTGAATTCTAGTTCCCACTATAGTCACGAAAGCCCGGCTGGGTGACTTGGGGGCCAGTCCTTCTCTCTCAACCCACCCCACCCCACCTCACAGGGTTGTTGCCCTGTGGGGGAAAAACAGGAGGGGGGGATGTGCCCTTTTTAACAGTCAAGACCCTCCCCCCCAAAATACCAGTAGGATAAACCGAAGAAATCAATGTGGGGTGAGAGGGAAGGAGGAGAAAAAAAGGGGTTGCAAAATCCCTTCGGTTTTGTTGAAATTAGGAAGACGCTAACCGGGAAGATGAGCCCATGGAGCGAGTGGCTGCATTCAATGGGATTAAATAATGAATAATAGAAATAACGGCACTCCCTGTGCCATTCTCCGCTCTACAGAGCACTTTGGGGGGGGGGGGTTTTGGGGGGGGATCCCCCAGCCTCTGCTTGGTCCTTATGGGGCAGCAGCAAACCTCGACCTCTGGCTTTTCTTCCCCCCTCCCAGTTGTCAGATTTCCCCCCAGCGCAAAAAAGACCCCCAACCCACAACATCTGGAGGGTCCCTGGAGGAAGCGGGGCTGGGGGATCCCCGCGACCGACCCAATCCGGAGAGGGGGGCTCCCTTTCGCCTCTATCGAAGACCTTCCTCCGGCAATGACTCTCCCCCTTGAAGGCTCCGACCCCCCGAAACCGGAATCCGGGCAATTCGAAGCCCTCCTTCTTGGGGGGGGGGCATTTATGGAAGAAAGCGATCTAGGCAGCCACGCGAAACCTCGATCCGGCGCCTGGCCGGACCAGGAGCAAAGCTTGGGTTGAAGGTGGGCGAAAGGAGAAAGCCGCCGATCAGGGGCAACTCCAGACTGGCCGGCTAGAGAAGGGGACCCCAATCCGGATTCAACCCGCGGAGGAGAAGGGGGAAGCGCCCCCCAGACCCCGCAGCCCGTTCTGGGAGGAAGGAGGGTCTCCCGCACCGCCCATCCTCGCCTTGGCGCCCCACCGCCCGCCGGGGAGGATGGAGGTTGTAGTAGCCCTGGTGAGATGGAGAGAGGAGGCAGGAGAGCCCTGCGCGCCCTACCTTCCAGCACCGAGTAGACCTTGTCCAAAGGCATCTTCCCTCGCCTGCCCGGCGCGCTGGGCGCGGAGACCGTCTGGCGAAGGGGAAGAAGCCGGCGCGGCTCAGCCGGAGGGGCGCATCCTCCTCCTCCTCCTCCTCCTCTTGCCGCCGCCGATGGTGCTGCTGCTCCTTCCCCTGCTCGCTCCTCCGGCGGCGGCGGCGGCGGCGGCCACGGTTGGCTCCCGCTGCCTCCGCCCGCCGCTGGAGCCCGGCGGCGGCTGCCCCTTCATGCCGGCGGGCAGCTACGGGAGAAAGGCGGGCAGCTCCATCCTCTTCCTCCTCTTCCTTCTCCTCCTCCTCCTCCTCTTCTTCTTCTTCCTCCTCTTTTTCTTCTTCTTCTTCCTCCTCCTCTTCTTTGCGCGCCCGGTCCGCAGCTGGCCCAGCCCCCCGACTGGGCGGGCGAGGGGCGAGGAGGGGCGGGAAGGAGGGAGGGGGAGAGGGAGAGGGAGGGAGGGAAGGAAAGAAGGAGGAGGAGGAGGAGGAGGAGGGAGAGTCTTGTACGCATGTGCCCCTGAGCTCCCCCCTTCCTCTCCTCCCACAGCCCGGGCTACCCCCAGCCCCCCCAAGACACGCGCGCGCCCCTTAGCCAAGCTACCCATTCAGCCCTCTCGCCAAGCCCGGTGGGTCTGTCCCGTTGGAGAAGGCGCAAGGGGTTCGCCTCGCCCCCCTCCCAGCAGTTCCCCCTTCCCCCCAAGGGACCCCTTCCTTCTGCTTTGGGTGCCCCCTCCCCTTGGGTTGGACTCCTGCGGGCGGTGGCTCCCCGTCCCGCATCAAGACGCCCCGCCTGGATCGGATACCCCGAAGCGCAAAAACCAGCGTCTTCGGAAGACAAAACCTCTTTGCAAAGCCGAGCAAAGTATCGGATCCAGCGTGGGGTTGAGGATGGGGTGGGGTGGGGTGGGGTGGGAGGTCTCTGTGTGTAAAATCCAGGATGTTGGTTTGAGGGAAACCATGGTTAAGTTACCTCTTGGGCTCCTCCACGGGTGCTTTCTCATCATATTTACTCGCCTGGTCTTGCAACCGCCTGAGAAATATTTATTTATTTATTTATTGGTTGGGTTTATATGCCGCCCTTCTCCGGAGACTCAGGGCGGCTTGCAATGCGTTAAGCAATAGCCTTCATACTTTTGTATATACCTGTGTGTGTATATATACAGGTATACCTGTATACCTGTAATTGTGTGTGTATGCGTGTGTCACGGAACTCACCTTTGGGGGAAAATTCTATGGATTATTAGACAACTCGCTTTCCCTCCCTTTCCTTTTGCTTAAAAAAAAACACACACACAAAACCCTCTACTTATTTTTAAGTTGTTTATTCAAAACTCCTGGAGAGACATTTAGCGAAAGGTCTATGAGTTTAAAGCTGGATCCGGGCGGGAGGCGGACAAAGTAAACTCAAGGAAAGGCAAAAGAGAAGGCGCGCGTGTGGGGGGGAGGTGGGGGCTGAGGGGGAGGGGGAAACAGGTTTGTGAGGCTGGGAAGGAGGAGAGGGGAGTAGCCCCAGGATCCTCAAGAGGGCAGGAAGGTGGAAAATAAGAGACTGACCGCGGAGTGGAAAATGAAGGGTGCAGGCAGAAGAGGCAGGAATGAAGAGAAGAAAAAATAGAGATGGTGTAGACAGAGAGAGACAAGAAATATACAGTAAAGGAGAGGACAGGAATTTAGGGGACCAAATTAAGTCTTGGCTTTGAGGGGTGAAGTGGCCTAGAGGTAAAGGCACTGGGAAGGTTGAGAATTCAATCCTAGGCAGCCTCAGATGTTTCTTTTATCGGGAAACGATGAGTAAATATCTGCTGCGAACTCTGCATAGGCGTTGGGAAGGGCATCCTGCCAGTAAAGGCTCAGTTCCATTCAGTTGCCCTAATTCCATCCCTATAAAAGGGATTACAGGGTCTTAAAAAAAATCTAATTTTGGCTTCGGTCCCCAGGTCTACTGTCACATCTGAAGACTCTGTGCATATGCAAGAGTGCCTTTCCTTCCCCTGGAGATGGTCTTGACTTCAGAGTCTTGGCAAAAGCCATCGATGCCACTTGAGCCCTGCTCCGCCTTCTCCTTTTCCCCTCCCTGCAATCTCCGGAGTTATAAAGGTTGAGCAAAGTGCCAGTTGCTTACTCGGGTGTTATCTGAAAGGCTTCCCCTCTGCCCTTTTCAGAGGGATCTCTGCACTTCAAAGACTTGGGAGAGAGGGGAAGGCTTGGGATCCTGCCTGTTGGAAAGGATCTTCCTAGATCTTCTGAGCTGCATTTTCAGTGGATGGGCTGACTCTTTGGGGTTGCTGCCTTGGGAACGAGTGAAAGGGAGGGAAAAGAGAGCAGGGTGGGTAGTTATTTTAAATTGTTCTGAACACGAGCAGAGCTCATGCACCGTGTTATGGCTGCGCGTGCCTGCTAATCAAGGCTGGGCAGAACAAACCAGGATAGATCACATAAAAACCCTGTTTGAATCACCTTTGGAGAGGATTGAATGCAGCCAGTGTGGGTAACTGCACCTTTCATTGAATCGAATGCCTTTTGGAAAGGACATAGAGAGATGTCTCACACCAACTCCCCTCCCCACATCCCCCTGGACAAGTGTGCGTAACTTCTCTTTCAATTTTATTGTGATTTTTCTTTCTTGTGCCGGGTGAGCAGCTGGGCAACCACTGTAGATCTCCGGCAGAGCAGCAACAGCAGGTGCCTTAAGCAAATTTGGGAACCCCTTGTGAAGAGCATGAAGATGGGAGGGGGCACTTGATGCTATGCCAGGAGCTGTTGAATGTCTCCTGCAGGAGCAATCCAGGAGCGGGTCCATCCATCAATCTGCCAAGATGTTCTTTTAATCACTGGTGAGGGAGGCATGTGTTAGACTAGAGCAGGGGTGTCAAACTTGATTTCATTGAGGGCCGCATCAGGGTTGGTTGGGTTTGACCTTGGTGGGAGGGGCAGGAGGGGCGTGGCCAGCTCAAGGTCACTCGTGTCTGTGTCGGAGGCGCCTGGGGTGGGCCGAGAGCTCTGCCAGCGAAAACGATGGTGGGGAACGGAAGGATTGATATTCCTTGCAGACAGCTGGTCCTTTGAATCCTTTTAGAGGGTCCTTGAAGCACTTGGAGGTTTATCTGTGCAGGGTCACCTGAGTGGTGCTCCTGGTTCCTTTCCCCCCCCCCCAAAAAATTGCAAAAATAAAAAAAGTAAAAAAAAAATATTGCAGACTACAGGAACCAGGAGCGCCACTCAGGTGACCCTGAGGACGCAGATAAACCTCCAAGTGCTTCAAGGACCCTCTAAAAGGATGCAAAGGACCAGCTGTCTGCAAGGAATATCAATCCTTCCGTTCCCCACCATCCTGTCAGAGCTGAAGAAGCTTCCTGGATGAGAAGCGAAACGACTTCAGAAGAAAAAAAACAAACAAGAAAGTCCAGTTGCCTCCTGAAAAAAGTATCTTTGGGACAAGTGATGGGGTACATACCTTCTGACTTAAAAAGGACATAGTAGAGGCTGCATGGCCCATGTTCCCCTTTTCAGTCCTTTCTGTTCTACTTCTACCAAAGTGTGAAATCATCTCTATCAGCATTTCTAACAGGTTATTTCTTTTTTCCCTGGGAAAAGCCGCAGCATTTTCTCACCAGTTTTTTTAGACTTTAGCCTGTACCACCACTAATGATTTAAAGTTTTTTTTCCCCCATCTCTCTCTCCTCTTGCCTTTTATTCTTCTTTAACACACTCACTCCCAGAGCATGTTAGAGATAGACGGTTAAGCATTCTTCTTTGCCTTTTCAGTGAAGCGTGTGAATTCCCTCTCTGTTGATTGTCGCTGGGTAGGAACATTTTGATACTGTGGTCTAATGTTGACACGGTCGTCTAATTCGGAATTTGCTATAAAGTTGGAGCTTGCAGTTGTGTAGGAAACGTCAAACCCCGGGGAAATCAGGAGATTTGGGCAGTTCGAATGAGTACATAAAGATTTATCGAAAGCTTAAGCTCTCTACAAGAATCTGACCAACTAACAGTCAAGGGAAATAAGCGGAAATTAAGAAGACAGTCAAAGGGGGCTGGACTCAGATTTCTTATGGGCACGCAGAGACTCATGACTGATGATGCGTTTGACCCCTCCCTCGCCCTCAGCCTAGTCATCTCCTACATGAAAAGACTGCAGCCACTTTCTCTTTCTCATCGTCAAATACGAGACGCAAAACTTTTTTTTCATTACAAATAGTCCTTGACTTACAACAGTTCATTTAGTGACCATTCAAAGTTATGACAAAAGCAATTTATGACCATTTTTCACACTTATGACTGTTGCAGTATCCCCATGGTGGTCACGTGATCAAAATTCAGACGCTTGGCACCTGTCTCATATTTATGACGGTTGCAGTGTCCTGGAGTCATTTTGCGACCTTCTGACAAACAAGGTCAATGGGGAAGCCAGATTCACTTACTAACTTAACAACTGCGGTGATTCACTTAAGTCATAAAACGGGGCAAAACTCACTGAGCAACATAAATTGTGGTCGTAAATTGAGGACTACCAGTATCCTCATTTAACAAAAATTATCCAATTGTAAAATTATCCAATTTTACAACATTATTATTATACATTCATCCAGCAGTGAAATCCCCCCGGGTTCTATCCGGCTCGCCGAACTGGTAGCGCCAGTGGCGGGAGGCTCCGCCCACCCACCGGGAGCATTACGTCCCATTTTTATACCATCTGCGCACGCGCAAAAGAGGCGGGCATGGACTCCCGCACACTCCCGTTCCCGAACCGGTAGCGAAGGTAAGTGGATTTCACCACTGCGTTCACCCCAAAATAAGAGGTGGCATTTTTTTAAAAAGGCTTTTGAAGCTATGGAAAGGCTTTCCAATCAGTAAGATTATAGGAAGTAATGAACGCACCACCGTATTTGCTGCAATTAATAATTTCAAACCTAAATTATTATTTGGAAATTATATGTATTCTCAAAAGCGTACGCACAATATTAGCGTGCATCTGGGACCTTGCTGGCTTTTGACCTGCTTGGATTTCAGCACTAAAGGCAACAACACGTAACTGAATTCAAAGCATTATAACAAACCTAACAAATTGCTTTTTCAACTATTTGATAGCCGCACTCGTTTAACAGGAGCTTAAAATAGATTCCGTCTCTTTTGTGCTGAAAGATGACCGAAACATTGACAAACAGATGCCGCCCGTCGTAACCCGCTAAGTATTTTAAAACAGGCAAGATGTGCTGTCTTTCCTTTTGCATAAATTATTGAGGAATTTATTGGAGCCTGAGCAAAAGAATTGGGAGGACGGATTGGAATGGGGAAAAAAAGGGGAAAAAATTAAGGATTTTTCCACGCAGTAGATGGTGCCAGCTAATCTAAAGCGGAATAACAGTATGGGCACCAAAGTGGTGCAAGTACTAGAGGTAGTTGACTTACAACCATTCGTTTATTGAATGCTTAAAGTTACAACACTGAGAAAAGTGACCTATGGCCGATTTTCACACTTACGAGTTGGTGCATTGCCCCCCCCCCCCCCATGGACCCCTGATCAAAATTAGGGAGCCTGGCAACTGGCATGTATTTATGATGGTTGCACTGTCTTTGGGGGTCAGGTGACTGATTCGCTTAATGACTGCATGATTCACTTCACCATTGCGGCAAAAAAAAAAGGGTCATAAAATGGGGCACAGCTCTCTTTAACAACTGTCTTGCTTCGCAATGGAAATTTTGGATTCCATTATGGGTTGTACGTTGAGGACTATCTTGTAGATCAGAGGTGAACAACAGAGCAGTAACTCTGCATTTTTCATAGAACGTATTTTTAATTCCATTTTAGGAAATCCTGTGTTCGCTTCTCAAGCCTCAGAGGAACTTAAACTTTTTGGGTTTTTTTGCTAAAGAGCTATTCAACTTTACTAGAGGAAGATGATCCATAACAGATCTGCAGCTTTTATACAACTTGGCTAATAGAGCAATACAGCCCTGCTTTAATTCCATAAAAAGTTGCTTTGCAGTGCACATGGGTACCAACAGAGCCCCTCTTTAAAGCAGCCAAGTGTCCCTGCCAGAGGTGGGCTTCAAAAATTTTAGCAAAGGGTTCTCTGCCCGGTTGCTGGGTGGGCGTGGCCATGGTGGATGTGTCCTAGTTGGCCTCCTGCACCACAGCGGCAGGGAGGGTTGATTTTGCCCTCCCTGGGCTCCAGAGGCTTTTCTCGAGCCTCCGGGAGGGTGAAAATGGCCTCCCCAGGCTCCAGAGGCCGTCTGGAGGCCAGATGGCCCCGTTTCCAGCCTTTCCGAACTTTCAGTAGGCCTGTTTTTCACCGTCCCCGTGCGCCCTGTACTTACCTGCACCCAAAACAGGCCCCATGGGGACTCTTGGGAGGGGCGGGGCCAGCCAGGAGTGGGATTTGGGGGTTCTCCGAACTGCACAGAATCTTAGCTAGAGGTTCTCTCGAACCCCTGCGAACCCCCAGCAGCCCAACCCTGGTGTCTGCCCTCTGGAAGTGTTGCACAATCATGAAAAAGGAAGATACAGCTGTTTTCGAGAGTTGCTGATGTACAGTTACTCCTGTGCCCTTTTGAAGCTCCTTTCGGAAAACCTTATCCAAAATATTACACAATCCGTAATATCTAATTGGAGTAATGGTGGTGGTTACTAGGAGATGTTTAAATATATGGAATTTGGTGGGGGTTATGTTTCATCAAAGGTGGATTTCCAGTATTTAAAAGCAGCTGATGTCAATACAACTCACAATGAGTTCTGTTTGAAAATACAACCCATTTTGACCCAGGCACGCTAAGATTTGATTTTATGAACAGTTTTACAGCCAGAAGAAACATTCTAAGACCAGAACTCTTTCTGAGTTAGCTGTGTGTGATGTAATACAACAGGACGAGATTATCACTACCGTTGTTTTCCATAAAACTAATTCATGCTGAAAATAGAACCAAATTTCAGAATGTAAATGCAAAGTGTGGTGGTAATTATATTTTGCTTCATTTGGAAAAAAAAAAGCATTTTGAGGTCTGGTCTTTGGTCTTTGCGTTCCAAAGGTACTTGATGCCTAATTTAAAAGCTTCCAGCTGATCCCACATTTGTTTTAAGGCAGCGAATGTCATCTTCTTTCAAGCCGTCAGGTGATTTGATTTTGATTTAGTTTTAGCATGTTGTTACGAACTTATTAATTTGTGGCTCAGCCAAGAAATTAAGCAAACTCCAGCTTACCATTAGGCATGAGCTCAGATTTTGATTAAGGTTTGCCTTTGAGTTTTGGTCGGTCTAATAAAAATACTGCTGTAGTACAGATTTTGGACAAATAAGGCACACTTGTTTCAATAATGGGAACTCTCTATATATTTTCAGTGATGGAGAAAATGAATGAAGAAATATACAGAAGGCCCTCAGCTCAAATCGTTACAAACTCACTCACTATTACTCAGTGGTGAAATGTGAACCGGTTTACTACTGGTTCGCTGGCTGCACCTGCGCAGCGCGCACCACGCACCAAATGCGAGGTGTGAGCGCGCAGTGCACGCCAAAAGGAGGCATGTGGGAAGTAGAACAGCGCTGCAGGTGTGTGTGTGATCAGCTGTGGCACCCAATCTTTTTTTTTTACTTTTAAAAGCATTGCTTTTAAAAGTAAAAAAAAAAAAGCTTCTGACGATCGTGCTGCTCAGCTGTGATCGTCAGAGGCTTTTAAAAACATTTTTTTTTTTTGCTTTTAAAAGAAAAAAAAAGCTTCTGATGATCAGGCAACTCAGCTGGGATCGTCAGAGCCTTTTAAAAGCATTTTTTTAAACAACCTCTACCCACAAAATGACGCTATAGGGCACTGCACACCAGAACAACTAGACACAAGGACAGTTTTTTTCCCGAACGCCATCACTTAGCTAAACAAATAATTCCCTCAACACTGTCAAACTAGTTACTAAACCTGAATTACTATTAATCTTCTCATCATTCCTATCACCCATCTCCTCCCACTTATGACTGTATGACTGTAACTTGTTGCTGTATCCTTATGATTTATATTGTTTCCTAGTATGATTCAATTGCTTATTTATCCCCTATGACTATCATTAAGTGTTGTACCTTATGATTCTTGACAAATGTATCTTGTCTTTTTATGTACACTGCGAGCATATGCGTCAAAGACAAATTCCTTGTGTGTCCAATCACACTTGGCCAATAATTCTATCTATCTATCTATCTATCTATCTATCTATCTATCTATCTATCTATCTATCTATCTATCCATCCATCCATCCATCCATCCATCCATCCATCCATCCATCCATCCATCCATCCATCCATCTATCTATCTATCTATCTATCTATCTATCTATCTATCTATCTAATCATCTTTTTTGAGAATCCTGCCAGACTGTGTTGAGATGAACTGATAAGGCTGCCCTACAAGGCTCATCCTTGTTCTGAAAACATTTCTGGTGATCATTGAGCAGGTTTTGATGGGTGATGGTCTCGGTGACTACAAATGTTGCTATGGGCTATAGAAAATGTACTGGAGACACGCGATCTATAAAGAAAGACTTCTGAAATCATCAGATCTTCAAGGTAGGGCAGATGAGGAGGTAGGCTCCACGTGGGTTATTGAAACTCTTTATTTTATTGTGGCAAAACAACAATCTCGAAAGCCTGCCAGAATTTCCCTCTGACCCCCGTTTATGGCTTGTAGAATCAAAATCAACCCATCATTTTCTGTTTCTTTCTCACTCCTTACTCCCTCTCAAGACCAGCTGAAGCTTACTTAATAGCTGTTGAACATCTGCTTCAAGGCCACCTCTCTGCTCCTCTACAGAACAAGACCTGTGTGACTTTAGTTCTACCGTACTTAAGAGAATAACGCAGGGCATGAAGTACCAGCTTCAGACGCCTAATAGATGCGGCAAGTTGATTGGAAAGAAAACATACTTCAAGTCTCAACAAAACTTGGGAGAAAGGCTGCGACAGGAATAAAGCACACTTTATTCACATCTCTTGCTGTTGTCTTATAAAATGCTCCGATTAAGGAAGAGCAAGGTGAAAAAGAGACATAATAATGGCGAAGCCACTGAGAAAACAAACCTTTTCCCACCTACTTTAGGGGTGTCCAATCTGTGCCCTGGTCCGCATGGAACACTGGACAGCTGGTACTGTGGCCCCATAAGATCATAAATGTTTAACGTGATGTGATTTTTTTTAGCAGTATTGGTATATACATTAACTATATCTTTGATAGGCAGTCCAAGACAATTCTTCTTCACTCCATGCTGCCCAGGCAAGTCAAAAGGTTGGACACCCATTAACTAGAGCATGGGTGTCAAACTCACCACGTCACATTGCCGTCACATGACATTTGGCAATAATTTCCCCATTCGCGGAGCTGGGGTGAGGGTGGCCTGCGAGTGACGTATCCGGCCTGTGGGCCGCCAGTTTGACATCCATGGATCACTGGTCCTATTCCTGATATCTTTAGCAAGTCAGAAATCCATGACTTCCATGACTGTTAAGATCATGGGCAGGTGTTCTTGAGGATGGATAATCAACTCTCTGGCTTAGAAACTCAAGATAAAATGGCTCCGTATGTTCTTATGTCACCCCGTTTCTCCCTTTCGGCTTCTCTCTTTGCTCCTTGTAACATTCATATTAAACCTAAGTGTCCTTTCTTCAACAGCGATGTCATACCAAATAACAGAATAACAGAGTTGAGAGGGACCTTGGAGCAGGGGTGAAATGCTACCGGTTCACTCCAGTTCGGGCAAACCGGTAGTGATAAAAACTACCGGTTCAGGTGAACCGGTAGTTAAAAAAAGCTACCAGTTCCTTCGAACCGGTATTTCCGACGATCAGCTGTGCCGCGTGGTTTAGCTTTGCTAGAAAGCAGGAAATCCTGCTTTCTAGCAAAGTTAAATCGCGCGTCACAGCTGATCCCCCGCCTCGCTCTTCTACTTACCTTCCCAAGACTCCTTTTGGTGCGTACTGCACATCTGCGTGCGTAGTGCACACTTGGCGCACATGCACAGCCAGCAAACCAGTAGAAAATCGGTTCAGATTTCACCACTGCCCTGGAGGTCTTCTTGTCCAATCCCCTGCTGAAACAGGAGACCCTACCCTATTCCAGACAAAGGATTATCCAGTCCCTTCTTAAAAGTCTCCCGTGTCGAAGGACCCACAACTTCTGGAGGCAAGTCGTTCCACTGATTAATTGTTCTCACTGTCAGGAAATTTCTCTTTAGTTCTAGGTTGCTTCTCTCTTTGTTCAGTTTCCACCCTTTGCTTGTTTTCTTGCCTTCAGGTGCATTGGAGAATAGGCTGACCCATTCCCTCTTTGTGGCAGCCCCTCAAATATGAAAGGAATCCATGCTCAAGTTTACCATTTGCAAATTAAACCAGCATACGAGTTTACGTAATGGACATTGTTTATTAGGAATACAGGCCAAGAATGTTTAAAAACCGTAAACCAAACGTAAGGAAGAAAGCAACAGAGGCTTTACATAAAAAGACTGCTTCCAATAGTTTTCTTAATCAAATAGCCGCAGCTTAATTCTTATTCGGAAAACGCTGGGATTCTCTTTGCGCATAGACATGGTTTGGTATGCAACGAGAAGATTAGAAGGAAATCATAACATAGTCTAGTCCAGCCCTTCATCATAACAGGCTGTGGAGAGGCACAATTTTTCCTTGGTGGAGCATCCTCTGTTCCTTTTTTTTTTAACATATTTTTTTTATTTTTATTTTTACGTATCGTCTGTTTTCATGATTAAAATTTAGGATAACTGCATGATAACTACGAGTAAGGGGTATATCCCGCAGATGATTTTAGGCTGGCATAATTTCAAAAGGTAGACTGCATTATGTTGATTTGTTTCTGATTCTGCGAATCAGTCTTTTTACTCCAATATTATTAGGGTGCTTTAATCTTCTGACATTAAGCTTCTCTTTGCACTTGATTGGATACAAAGATTAAGATGAACAATCCAAAGCATTTCGAGTAAAAATGTCTTCCAGTACAATCAGAACAATCTACCAGTTTGCTGGAGGATTAAATTATAAACATGGAAGTCATATTTTGGAAAGAGATAAATGACGATCAGACTGGGGCACTAGAATTGGGGGTTGTTGATTTTTTTTTGGCTCACTGAAAGTTCAATTTACGTAGAACCATCTTTTCAGGAAAGACAGTTATATGGAAAGAAAGTGAGAATATGGAATGCATGCAGTAGGACAGTGATGGCGAACCTTTTAGACACAGAGTGCCCAAATCGGAAGGCGCGCATCTGTGCCAGAGTGCTGGAAATCGGAAGACCAGCTGGCTGGCGCACATGTGCAACTCGGAAACCCGACAACCAGCTGGCTGAGCTGAGGCGATGGTGCGCATGCACACAGAGAGTGCTCTGTGTGGCACCTCTGGCACGCCTGCCATAGGTTCGCCATCACGGCAGTAGGATCTACGGGGGAGAGAGAGGAATTTATTAAATAAAAGACAGTGGCGAATATATACAATCCGTCCTCTGAAATGAGGCTATCGCTTTACAAATAAATTAAAAGGAAAAAACAAACAGCAACATTTCAACATTTACAAATACCACAGCAAAATGCTTCCTTCAGTCTGTCTATGATTCGGTAGGTTTAGTCTGGATCAAGTGGTAGTTCCTGCATCGAGACCTAAAGGTCGATCACATTGCATCGAAATGGAATCGGTGTGCTTCTTGCCTTTTCTCGCGATCGTCTGCTTTCTGGAACAAGGGTAACAAGGAAACGATTATTTTAGGGGAAAAAATATAATATGCTTTTGGTGGCTGCACCTAACGCTGATGATCAGAACTGTAAAAATCACACACAGAAAAAATGATTACCCTAAAAAAATTTTATTTTATTTTTTTTTATTTTAATTTGATTTATATGCCGCCCTTCTCCGGAGACTCAGGGCGGCTTACAATGCGTTAAGCAATAGCCTTCATACTTTTGTATATTTATACAAAGTCAGCTTATTGCCCCCACAAACTGGGTCCTCATTTCACCTACCTAAGAAAGGATGGAAGGCTGAGTCAACCTTGAGCCTGGTAAGATTTGAACCTGCAGAAATTGCAGGCAGCTATGTTAATAACAGGGTGCATTAAACCACTGTATTACCAAGGCTCCTTGATACTACTGGAATGCTTACTAAAACCCTTGACGGATAATAGTTTATTAGGCATCAGGTGGAAGAATCTAGCCAAAAGTGGCCACCATAAATCTAAATTCTTTGGCGCAAAGCTTTTGCTGGTCCATCAAGCTTTTTTCTTTTAGGACAATAAGATAAAAAGGAACATCTACGGGACAGCACATACATGCTGAGTCTTGGGGAGGGCGGTAGGGGAGGGTGGGAGCTTGAAAGGTTCCTATTTTGTTTTAAACAGGGAATCTCTCTCTTGTCCTGTTCACAATGCCCACTTTTGACCTAGTTATGTGTGTTGGAAGAATGATCCTAATGGGGCAATGCTATCGGTCTCATTAAAAACCCTGGGAAAATCTGCGGTTCCCAAAAGGTGGGTTTACTTTTTTTTTTTATAAACATCAACCTATTTCAGACATTTTTTTTTAAAAAAATCTTATTATTTTTTTGTTTTTATCCTGCCTTTATTATTTTTATAGATAACTCAAGGTGGCGAACAAACCTAACACTCTGGCCTCCTCCTGTTTTCCCCGCAACAACAACCCTAAAAGTTGAGCTGGGCTGAGAGAGAATGATTGGTCCAAAGTCACCCGGCTGGCATCCTGCCTAAGGCGCAGTGTGGAATTCAATTTTTTTTACTACTGGTTCTGCGGGTGTGGCTTGGTGGGCGTGGCATGGCTTGGTGGGAGTGGCAGAGGGAGGATACTGTAAAATCTCCATTCCCTCCCCACTCCAGGAGAAGGTTACTGCAAAATCCCCATTTCCTCCCAATCAGCTGGGACTCGGGAGGCAGAGAATAGATGGGGGCGGGGCCAGTCAGAGGTGGTATTTACCAGTTCTCCGAAGTACTCAAAATTTCCACTATTGGTTCTCCAGAACTGGTCAGAACCTGCTGAAACCCAAAGTCACCCAGCCAACTTTCCTGCCTAAGGCGGGACTAGAACTCATCGTCTCCTGGTGAATGACCCAAAGTCACCCAGCCAACTTTCGTGCCTAAAGCAGCACTAGAAGTCACCGTCTCCTGGTGAATGGCCCAAAGTCACTCCGCCAGCTTTCATGCCTAAGGTGGGACTAGAACTCACCGTCTCCTGGTGAATGGCCCAAAGTCACCCAGCCAACTTTCGTGCCTAAAGCAGCACTAGAACTCACCGTCTCCTGGTGTATGACCCAAAGTCACCCCCCCAGCTTTCATGCCTAAAGTGGGACTAGAACTCACCGTCTCCCGGTGATTGGCCCAAAGTCACCCGGCCAGCTTTTATATCTAAGGCAGGACTAGAACTCACCGTCTCCTGCTTTCTAGCCTAATCGCCTTCACCACCAGGCCAAACTGTCTCTCTTCATTAAGCACGGCTTTATTATCAATTGTACTCGTGTCTTGCTCGTTGGTTTTCCACTTGGCTACTGACCACGAAACAGAATCCCGGAACAGAAAAACCTTGAATCTGACCCAGCGTGGCTCTGCCTTGTATTCATAACCAAGGAGAAGTCGAAAGCAGGCAAGGGGTATGATGGTTCTGTCTGAAGGTGGCATGTGAGACATGCATCATTACCATCTCACCCTTAATCTGACAAGGTGTTCTCGCTGCCTGTGGCTGAACCAGGATTTCAGCTTGACGGTGCTGCTTTGGATTTTACTGTCAGCCCTTTATCCTTCAGGGAAAAGTGCGGCGTTCAGGTGTTAATCACACTCCGACTTCCTGGCAGGAAGGTGCTCCTGCCACAAAGGCTCTGACATGTCTCAGTCTATAAAAACACCCCATGACACATTCCCTTCCACCCGTCCATTATCTCGGCAAAGAATTCGCGCTGCATAATGGGCCGCGTACCTGCCTGCCTTTCCTCTTTTCCATTCTTAATTCTGAACCCGTTGTATTTCCTGTCTCACGGGTGACATTTTCAAAAGGTTATTTTGGAACTTTCCATTAATGCAGGGATCTAAACAAGCAGGCACACTGCCCGCCTTCGCGCAGCCCGCCGGGTCGGGGATTCGTTCGAACGGCATCGTAATGGGTGCATCTGATCCCGCTTAAAGGCAACCAACCACAGCTTGCTTATTTAGCGTAACCATCGGCAGCGAAAAGCAAGTGATTTTTTTAGATCGGGGCTTGCTTGCTTCGCGAGCGAAATTATATTGCCAAAACTCATAAAAAAAAATAAAAATAAATCAGAAGTTTATTCATTTGTTTGGGGTTCCGTACAGCAGCTTCTTGTCGGATAAGGGAACAGAAGGCTAAAGTGACTCGCAAACAAAGTCGCTCAAAGTCGTTAAGCGACTGTTGTGGTCATTAAGGGAACATCAAAGGTCTCAAGTGAACTAATTGTTCAGCATTGTGGCCCAGTTTTGCAGAAAATGGGAAGTATATGCCGGGTTAGGGCAAAGACGTCGTAAAACATGGCCAGGTGATCATAGGGCTCTGCAAAGGATTCTAAAGCTGGGCTGGTTGCCAAGTGTCCAAAATGGAATTTGCATTGGGGAAGGGTCAGAATTTTGCAGCAGGGTCATTTGTACTCCTGGGGAGTCCATCCGACCACTGAACGGTTGCTAAGCGACCAGGTGTTAAGGTGAGGACTCCTGTATTGAAGGTGCGTTGGGGAAGAAGTGGGAAATCTATGCCTTGGTGAGCTTCGGTGGTGCAGTGGTTAGAGTGCAGTACTGCAGGTTACTTCTGCTGACTGCGTGCAATTCGGCAGTTCAAATTTCACCAGGTTCAAGGTTGACTCAGCCTTCCATCTTTCCGAGGTGGGTAAAATGAGGACCCAGATTGTTGGGGGCAAGAGGCTGACTCTGTGAACCGCTTAGAGAGGGCTGTGAAGCACTGTGAAGTGGTATATAAGTCTAAGTGCTATTGCTATTGCAGGCAAAACTCTGCTCGCTGCCAGGAGTTTGATTCTGATTGACTCAAGGTTGATTCAGCCTTCCATCCTTCTCGGGTTGGTAAAATGAGGACCCAGATTGTTGGGGGCAATATGCTGACTCTGTGAACCGCTTAGAGAGGGCTGTAAAGCACTGTTAAGTGGTATATAAGTCTAAGTGCTATTGCTAAGTGCTATTGGTGAAGACTTCAAACTAGGATAGCTAGCAAGACAGGGCGCTTAAGAACGTTTCTCTCCGAGGCGCCTCAATATCTAGGAGTTAGGATTTATGTGCCCTTTGGGTTTTGGTAATCATGCAGGCTCATAAGTGCTTTCCTGGGGTGCCACAAATGGCCTTGAGAGAAAAAGGCTTGGTGTGTTGAAGAACTGTAAAAGACAGCAGGGAAGGGGCAGAATCGACTAGAAATCGGTAACACAAGCCATCGTTGATTTTACTTCTCCGCAGGAAATGCTCCTGGCATATTGAAGGAACCCGCACCACAGCAATTCCCATTTAGCCTTAATGACGAAGCACACAAGATGCTTTCTCAGCTGCATCCCATCTCTTGTTCCACGGAGGAGAGGGGGGGGGGGAACGGTCTATCCTAAACTATACTTAATTTGAACCATTTCTGCAGGGAAAACTTTTGCTGTTGAAACTCGGCTTTGGAAGATGCTAAGACAAAGCTAACCTTTCTCCTATCAGCCAGTTTTCTTTCCAGGGGAATTCATGCTTATTCCATTCTTCAAACTAGGCACTTCCTCCCGTGCTAAAATAGAGTGCCCTTCGCTCTTATTATTTTTCAGTTTCTTTAGAAAGCCCGGCAGCCAATTGATGGATTACCATACTTTTCGGAGTATAAGACGCACCTTTCCCCCCCCCTAAAAGGGGGTGAAAATTTAGGTGTGTTTTATACACCAAATGTAGTCATGCCCACCCACTGGCCCCCATCCTTTGCCCTCTAACTCCCAGCAGTTACCTCCTTGCAAGCAAACAGCAAGAAAAAACAGCTCCTTTCAGCTTCAGCACAGCCTAATTAGCACAAGTTGATTGGATCGGCCTCCCGACTCTCAACTGATTTGCTCTCAGCTGTTTTGCGCAGGGCTCTGCTGCTTGCTGCAAAGAGGTAAATTGCTGGAGCAGATTTTTTCCCCCCCTTGTGCTAATTAAGCTATTTTGAAAACGAAAATGAAAGTAAAGCAGGCTGTTTACTGCAATGAGGCAAAATTGCTGGGAGGCAGAGGCAGAGGGAGATTTCTTTTTCTTCTTTTCCTCACCAAAAAAGGTAGGTGCGTCTTATACTCCGGTGCGTCTTATACTCCGAAAAATACGGTATAATGTTCCGTTTAGAATTTAGGGGTGGAAGAACAAAAGAACAATCGTGCAGACATCGTTCGACGTCGTGTGCTGGGTGTTGTCTCAAGGAATGAATTGCATTATTGCTTAGTGCGTCCTTCCTGTTCCTTGATGCTAACGTGGCGCAAGGATCCGCGGTTCTAATCTCGGCTAATTTGCTAGCGAAACCTTCAGAAACACCAAGTAACTAGGTTACTTGGTGCCATAAAGGACAACAACAAGCCACCGCAAGGCTCAAAAAAAAAAAAAAAAAGTGATCATTTCCACAGGTCTGATTATGGCTTGCCCAGCCGGCAAATACTTAACTGTCTAGCCCCGCTGTTGAATGGCCAGCTATGAATAGAAAGCCCTACGAGAAATGGGGACAGACATGTTCTTTTGTGGCATTGAAAAAGGAAGCTTTTTAAGTAACTTCTGGGAATCAATGCGCTTCAACAGAGTAAAATAGCAGCTTTGCTCATAGTTGGGTAAAATATCTCTGTTTTGAAGCTTGTCGATAAGGAAGCCAGCAAGGGCGCTTAATTCAGAGGGAAGAAACTGCTTTCTATTACAGCCGAGCTGAACAAGAAGGAAAAAAAAAAAAGAGGCTGATTTAAATTTCATTCATTGCCGGAGCCACATTGTCCAGGGAACTTTTCAAGACAAGACACCCCCCCTCCCTCCCCGCATGGGCAGAGGTCACCCAAACACTTCCAGCTCAACAAACTTCTAAAAGGCAGCTTTTAATGCCACCCTTTAACCTCCATGGGACCTTGGAGAGCAAATTGGGAGAGCAGAAGAGGCTCGTTCTTTCTAATCTTGGCAATGGTCGCCGTGCTAACGTATTCCCTAATGAATGGAAGAAAAGAAGGGAGGAAGGAGGAGAGAGAGGAGGAAGGGAGGGAAGGGAGAGGGAAAAGAAGAAAAGGAGGAAGCAAGCATGGAAGGAAGGGAGGTGTTGTGGTCCGCCAGCAGCCTGCGAAGCTGGCAGCAGAGTCGGACAGTTAGGAGGCTGGGGAGGGCCATGGGCCAGTCCTGGAGTCTGGGGAAGGCTCGGATGAGGGCTCTGCATCGGAGGCAGAGAAAGGGCCATCTGGGAGGTACGTGCTGCCTCCAGAGCCTCCAGAGTCGGATCTTATCGAGGCAGAGGAACAGGGGGAGACTATTCCCAGTGCGTGTATGCACAGGACTGCCAGAAGGCAAGAATAGCTAAAACAAAAGGGATGACTCGGGAGTAGGGCTGGGAGATGATTGGCTCCTCCCATAAGACTTAAAAGAGGAGCAAAGGCACATGGGCTTTTGCAGGAAGCAACGTTTGTTCATTCGGTTCAGCTTAAAGACTGAAGCTCTGTTTGATTCTGGATCCATGTGGCTTTGCCAATTAGGTCTTTGGCAGTGTGTCAAGGGAGATAAAGGTGGGTGATTATCCCGAAGGACTTCTCCCGAAGGAGTCTTTATAACTAATTGGGACTCATCTGTGAATGAACAGAATTCACAGCTGTTGCAATAAAAGAGGTTTTTGGGATTACTCATGTGTTTTAATGACTCAGGAAGCCTAGGTTAGAATAGGAGGGAGGGAGGAAGATAGAAGGAAGGGAGGGAAGGAAGATAGAGAAAAAAGAAGAAAGGAAGGAAGGAAGGAAGAGAGGGAGGGAGGGAGGGAGGAAGGAAGATAAAGAGAAGGAAGGGAAGGAGGGAAAATATAGAGAAAAGAAGAAAGGGAGGGAGGGGGGAAGGAGGGAAAATAAGGAGGAAAAATTTGGGCCCTAAAAAAAAAAAAAAAAAAAAAAAAAACTAATGTAAAAAAATGAGGATTTAAAGAGAAAAGGGGTGTCTTAAGTCTTCCCGAGGTTTAATATCTACTTCAGACCTTAAAAATACTTGGATCTTCCAAAAATAAATATCAAGTTAGTTTTTCCAAATTGGGGGTGTGGGTGGGTGGGTGGGTCTTAAGGGGTAAACCTTGATTGATGGCACCAATGTCATCCCTTAAATTCCCATTAAGAAGTGGAAAATATTTGCTCTGTCCACAGCACTGCCTTGATTCCTAAAGGCTGATAACCATGTGGTTTTATTGGGGCTTAGCTTCCTGCAACGGGTAGGATCTATTTACTGTGTTTTGACTGCCTTGGCTTACAATTTTTGCACAGAAGCGCACAAACTAAGCCCTTCAGTCATCCTCAGTCTCGGCCACCTCCAACCACTGTTACAGAAATGTGACAGAAAGAGGGAAATGATTAAATACACGGCTGGGGAATAAACCCATGAACTATTTAAATAACAGAATACGCGTAAAGGAAAGGGAAAGAAATATAGCTTCGGCACTGGAGCAGCAATCCAGTAAGTTTCGGAATGCGTCCTTTATAAGCAGGTCAGGTAAAGGCTGAGTGCATTTCCCGTTAGCCTGGAAAACCTTGTGCAGCCCTGGCGTGGACTCCGGCTGAGCCAATTGTGGCTTTGTGCAATGGGAGAGCCCCTCTAAAATTTAAAGAGCAGCTTTGAAATTTAATTTAAAATTGAAAGACTTCATGGAAAGAATACGTGGTGTTGCAGTGGTTAGAATGCAGAATTGCAGGCTAACTCACTGCCCACTGCCAGTAGTTCGATCCTGACCGGCTCAAGGTTGACTCAGCCTTCCGTCCTTCTGAGGTCAGTAAAATGAGGACCTGGATTGTTTGGGGCAAGATGCTGACTGTAAACTGCTCAGAGAGGGCTGTAAAGCACTATGAAGCAGTATATAAGTCTAAGGGATATTGCTATTGCTTCCTTCCTTCCTTCCTTCCTTCCTTCCTTCCTTCCTTCCTTCCTTCCTTCCTTCCTTCCCTTCCCTTCCCTTCCCTTCCCTTCCCTTCCCTTCCCTTCCCTTCCCTTCCCTAATTCCTTCCTTCCGTGGTTGCACAGTGGTTAGAATGCCATATTGCAGGCTAGCTCTGCCCACAGCCTGGAGTTTGATCTTGACCAGCTCAAGACTGACTCATCCTTCCATCTTTCCGAGGTCAGTAAAATGAGGACCCAGATTGTTGGGGGCAATAGGCTGTCTCTGTAAACCGCTTAGAGAGGGCTGTAAAGCACTGTGAAGCGGTATATAAGTCTAAGAGCTGTTGTTATTCTTTCTATTGTCAACCCTTGGTGTAACACAAAGCTCTTTCTAAATATGGCCTTAGGTCAACAAGCAAGGTAGAAAAATATTGCCAAGCTTACCTTCTCTTGCCAGTGCAGTATGCCAATGATGGCTAAAATGAAGACACAGACTCCAATTAAGGCAATTGCTGTTAGCAGTACGATGTTACTCGGGGTCAGGTACAGCTTAGCGCTCCAGCTAGGGGGAGGAGGGTGGGGGGAAAGAGAAGAATCCAAGATCAATCAGTGGTCCCATGGACGGCCATGAAGACAAGGTCTTCCACAGGGGATGGGGAAAGCCAACACAGAAACAGATTCTTGATCCCAAGCTTCCCAGATGTGGAGCTTTAGAGGCTGCAAAGGCATGAGTAACAACTTCTCTTTGTTCCCTGGCATGGAGGCATCTGTCATTTCAGAGTAAGGTTTTAACTTGTAGTTTGAAGCTGTTGACTCACTGCCAAGCTCACATGTGCAAACGGAACAAAGAGAGAAAATGGAAGAAAACTGGGTGGCAGGAAATAAGCCAATTTTCTACGAATGGGTAATAATAAGTGGTGGGACGGCAAAATAGATATCTAGTTATAGAAATCGAAGAACAGAACAGAATAGAATAGAATAGAATAGAATAGAATAGAATAGAATAGAATAGAATAGAATAGAATTCTTTATTGGCCAAGTGTGATTGGACACACAAAGAATTTGTCTTCGGTGCATAAGGTCTCAGTGTACATAAAAGCTATCAGTGATAAATCAGGATCACAGTCATCATTAAAATATGTTCATCATAAATCATAAGATACAACACTTAATGATAGTCATAGGATACTAAATAAGCAATCAACATAAATCATACCAGGAAACTAAATAAAACAATATAAATTGTAAAGACACAAGCAATAGTTTGACAGTGTTGTGGGAATTATCCTGTTTCCCCCAAAATAAGACATCCCCTGATAATAAGCCCAATCGGGCTTTTGAGCGCATGGCAATAAGGCCAAGCACTTATTTCAGGGTTCAAAAAAATACAAGACAGGGTCTTATTTTCGGGGAAACACGGTAGTTGTTTAGCAGAGTGATGGCATGGAGGAAAAAAACTGTCCTTGTGTCTAGTTGAAAGTCTCCGAGACTTTGGAATTCAACCACTCGCCACATAACAGGCCAGATCTAACAACTGTCGAGAAGAAAGGGAAAAAAAAAGAAAAAGAAAAGGCTGAATGATGGATGTTGTAGTACCTGGAGACAGTGTAACAGAATAAAAAGGACTGGGGAGAATCATAACATATAAGGACCTGCAAACGGAACGACTGTGGTAGAGGGGAAGAAAAAAAAAAGAAGAAGGAAAGATAGTACTAATAGTGATAGGCGCCTTGAGTGCAATTCCAAAACATCTGGAGCACCATTTAAACACCATTGCCATTGACAATCGCCATCCATCAAGTCAAAAGGCAGCTTGACTTGGAACAGCTTCCATCTTGCAACGATGCCTTCGATACCATCAAACCACATCTGGCTATCCCAGGTCCTTGGGAAGGACTCGCTAGGATAAAAATGCCAAACCCAGTCTAAACATCTGGCTTATTGTGCCAAGAACCATAAGAAGAATATTATTTATATTCTAAATGTCTAACCGATTATGGGAAGGGATGCGTATTTGGGGAATTAGCAGGTTTTATGATAGGGAGGGATTAGAACTAGGAACATTTCTCTCTCTTTTTTAATTTTCTTCAGAAGGTTGCCAAAGGGGATCACGTGACCCTGGGACACCGCAAGGGTCATAAAAATATGAACCAGTTGCCGTCCAAATTTTGATCATGTGACCGTGGGGAGGCTTCAAGGGTCGTAAAGTGTAAAAAACGGTCGTAAGTCACTTTTTTTCAGTGCCGCTGTAACTTCAAAAGGTTACTAAATGACCTGTTGTAAGTTGAGGATTACCTGCATGTCTTCATTCATATCACTGAGATGCATAAGAAGTTGACCGTTCTCTCTCAATTCAGGCTAAAACAGTGAACTAAATTTAGAGTCCTACCTATCACAATTTATGATGGTGATGATGATGATGGAGGAGGAGGAGGACTTGCTGCTCTCTGAACCTGGTTGTTTTCTTGGAGACATTTCATTACCCAACTAGGGAACATCATCAGTGCTAGTAGGGAGTGGGGTGAAGAGGAGGAGGAGGAGGAAGACGAGGAGGAGGACTATGAAGGTTCCTTGGTGCTCTCTGAGCCTGGTTGTTTCCTTGCAGACATTTAGTTACCCAACTAGGGAACATTATCAGTGCTAGAAGGGAGTGTGGTGAGGAGGAAGAGGAAGAGGAAGAGGAAGAGGCAGCCTTGTGGGGTTCCTTGGTGCTCCTTGAGTCTGGTTGTTTTTTTGCAGGTATTTCATTACCCAACTAGGGAACATCACCAATGCTAGAAGGGAATGGGGGGAGGAGGGAGAAGAAGGGAAAAAATAAGCAACGGTGGCTCTGTATTTAATTGCTTGGCAAATGGCTGCATAGATTATTGGAAGTTCATAAATAGTATGTCAATATTCAGCAGCAAAGGGGCATTTAGTCACTCATGTATCATCGTGCGCTTTTCTCCGAACGGAAGCCGTTTTGATATCGATTCCACTTAATGCGTTTCAGCAAAATGAAATCTCCCAATGTCCAATTCACGGAGAGCGATTCCAACGCGGCCATGTAGACGATCATACCGTTCTTCAGGGAGACGCATTTGAAAGAGGTGCTCCGATCGCTTCTCCAATTCTCTCTAGTTTTAAGCCTTTATTCTTTCTATTACTTTTCTTTTTTAAAATAATAATAATTAAGGAGATGATGCCTGCTGAGTCGGAATAAATTTTATTTATTTATTTATTTATTATTCGAATTTCTATACCGCCCTTCTCCTTTCGGACTCAGGGCGGTGAACAGCCAAAATAAAAACTTTTATACATAAATACGATTAAAAATAGATTTAAAATAATTAAATTTGGCCCATAGTTTAAAATTTATCAATTTAAAATCCATATCAAAATTTAAAACCAACCATAAAATCATAAAATCAAGAGAGAGACCGGGATGATGTACTTCTAACCACTCTGAGCTTCCCTAAATAGCCAGGGGATTTATTAATTAATTTATTAAATTAACTGATAGGTAGTCCTTGACTTATGACCTACCTGACGCTGGAATTAGGGATGTAGCCTGCTGGCAGGGGAATTCTGCTCAGAGGCCTTAAAGTTGAGAAACACTGAGTTTATTATTGTTGTTGTTAGTTGCGAAGTCATGTCCAACCCATCGCGACCCCATGGACAACGTTCCTCCAGGCCTTCCTGTCCTCTACCAATGTCCGGAATCCATTTAAGCTCACGCCGACTGCTTTAGTGACTCCATCCAGCCACCTCGTTCTTTGTCATCCCCTTCTTCTTTTGCCCTCCATCGTTCCCAGCATTAGGCTCTTCTCCAGTGAGTCCTTCCTTCCTTCTCATTAGGTGGCCAAAGGATTTGAGTTCCATCTTCAGGATCAGGCCTTCTAAAGAGCAGTCAGGGTTGATCTCCTCTAGGACTGACCGGTTTGGTCGCCTTGCAGTCCAAGGAACTCGCAGGAGTCTTCTCTAGCACCATAGTTTAAAGGCCTCAATTCTTTGGCGCTCAGCCTTTCTTATGGTCCAACTTTCACAGCCATACATTGCAACTGAGAAAACCATAGCCTTGACTATATGCACTTTTGTTGGCCGAGTGATGTCTCTGCTTTTTAGTAAGCTATCTAGATTTGCCATAGCTTTCCTCCCCAGGAGCAAGCGTCTTTTAATTTCTTGGCTGCAGTCCCCATCTGCGGTGATCTTGGAGCCCAGGAAAATAAAATCTGTCACAACCTCCATTTCTTCCCCATCTATTTGCCAGGAATTGAAAGGGCCGGATACCATGATCTTAGTTTTCTTAATGTTGAGTTTCAAGCCAACTTTTGCACTTTCCTCCTTCACCCGCATCAAGAGGCTCTGTAGTTCCTCTTCACTTTCTGCCATTAGAGTGGTATCATCTCTACATTGGGTTATACAGCCTGAATTAGCAACTTCAGGAAAGCCGAAACTGGTCACTTTACAAGTCACTTCCAAAACAGGGCCAGCAGAGGATTATAAAGACAGGCTTGACTTAGAAATGTACATGCCGTTCTCAACTTATGACCACAATTGAGCCCGGCATTTCTGCTGTTAAGCGAGACATCGGTTAGGTGAGTTTTTCCCCCCCATTTTACGACCTTTCTTGCCAGAGTCGTTAAGGGAATCACTGCAATTCATAAGTTAGCCACCCGGTTGTTAAGTGAATCTACTTCCCCATGGACTTGGCTTGTCTGAAGGCCACAAAAGGGGATTGTATGATCTTGGGATGCAGCAGCGGTCATAAGTATGAAACAGCTGCCAAGCATCTGAATTTTGATCCTGTGACAGTGGTTGTAACTATGAAAAATGGCTGTAAGTCACCTTTTTCAGTGCCATCGTAACTTTGAATGGTTACTAAATGAACTGTTGTAAGTCGGGGACTACCTGTATCTACAAAAACAAAAAAACCCTGCGTTTCATTTTCTAGAAATGACTTCTCTATTTCTAGAAATATTATCTAGGCAGCCTTCACTTTTTCTCAACCAACTGCCCTATGATTACATTATAAAACAAACACTCACTGGTTTTTTTTTTCCCCCCGCCAAGTTCCAAAGATGAATAAAGTCTTTTTTATTATTATTAACAAGAATGGTTTTGTTTTAAGGTTATAATAAAGATTTATCAACTGTTGAGGTCAGCCTCTATGATCAATAAATCTTAAACAGACTGAAAATTGAAATCAATGTGGTCTTTTTATAACATACATAAATCTGGAATGGCAGTTCTTCAGTAAACGCCAGGAGTAAAATAACAGAATAATGATTAAAATTCATTTGGAGGAAGAATTCTTTGACATCTGAATACTTATTGTTCATTTCGAAGGAGGAGGGTCTCGCAACTCAAGGCAACGCTTTGTCGAACTGAGATCTGATTACAAGAATCTCATGATGCTTTGCCGTGACTTGAGTCATCCGGGCTTAAATTAGATTTCCTGAGTTATCCGAATTCCTTGGGATATATTTACGTCTTATTTCCATTGTTCAAATCCTTGAATGCCTTTTGTTACTTTTACGCGAACGTATCAATTTTTCCTCCCTAAGTATATAGTTCTAAAAAGGCATGTATTATATGCGGCAGGATACTTTACAGTATGAAAAGTTGTATTTACTCCATGGTATCCGTCAGGCACGAACAACCAGACCCACACTGGTGTAGTGTTCGACCTAGCTACTTCATTGCTCTCTGCCTATAATACAGGAATCTCCCCAAGTGGCAGCTTTGGAAAGACCAGATAATCGCCATCACTCTGCTAAATGAATAATTCCCTCAACACTGTCAAACTATTTACTAAATCTGCACTACTATTAATCTTCTCATCGTTCCCATCATCCATCTCCTTCCACTTATGACTGTATGACTGTAACTTTGCTGCTTGTATCCTTACGATTTATATTGATATTGTTTCCTGATTGCTTATTTGTACTCTATGACTATCATTAAGTGTTGTACCTTATGATTCTTAATGAACGTATCTTTTCTTTTATGTACACTGAGAGCTTATGCACCTAAGACAAATTCCTTGTGCGTCCAATCACACTTGGCCAATAAAGAATTCTGTTCTGTTCTGTTCTGTTCTGTTCTGTTCTGTTCTGTTCTACTCTACTCTACTCTACTCTACTCTACTCTACTCTACTCTACTCAAAGGCATTCAGGGAGGGTCAGGCCTTGCTCTCTTGTATTTATGTAACAATACCAGACTAATCCTATCCAGCACATAGCATATAAGCGATGCTTGAGCAGGGTCCGCAGGATTGTCTGGGATGCTACACATCTTCTTCATGACCCATTTCCCTTGTTTTCCTGCTGGGAAGAGGTTCGTGATATCCGAACCAGAACATCCAGATTCAGTTTTCAGTTTTGTTCCATATAGTATTAACCTTGTGAAGGGAACATCAGTTCTTGGAGCTGGAGGAATACTGAGAGTCAAGGGAGGAAAAAGGAGGAGGAGGATGAATTTGCAAATCGTACCAAGTCCATTGAGAGCAGCAATCCAAGTGTAGGGCTTTATACAAACCAGCACCAGATATAAAGAACTTAATGTGCTGGTTTCGAGGCAGGGGAAAAATAAAAGGCCATTTGCAAGTTTATAAAGGAGTGGAAAAAGGTTTTCATGTGCAAATGGACTGAGATGGGCTACAAAAACTTGAAAACCTGAGGGAAAAAGAAAGATGTAAAGAGCTAAGAAATAGTTAAGATTAAAAAAAAAAAAAACAGCGTTGCCAACACAGAAATGGGAGCATAGAAACGGAACCCAGGGATAGAAATTTATAAACTTAAATAAGAAGAGCAGTTGTGAATTCGTAAGGAAGACAGCAGGATGAGATAGGAAAATAAATGAAAGCACAGAATTAGCGTTAAGTTTAGAGAAAAGGAATGGCAGCGAAACATTATAAAAGTAAGTTTTTGGGTGGAAAAACCCCATGCAAGTCTTTAGTGTTCGGTACCGTATTAAGAAAAACTGTCATGAAAGATTTTAGAAGTGGGACACGGTACAGTATCCAAGGACTGAGAATAAAAGATGCTCATGGAAAAAAGAAAAAGGATATCCAGACTCAGAGAGAAATCTGACAAGGAGGGAAAAGTGTGATGACCCGGGGCAAGGCACAGAGGCAACACAGCCAGCGGATAGTTCAAACTCCCCTTTATTGCTCCAACTGTCCCCCAAATGCCTGTCCTGCAAAGTAAATACCGTATTTTTCAGAGTATAAGATACTCCGGACTATAAGATGCATCTACCTTTTTTGGGGAAGAAAATAAGAAAAAAAAGGCTACCTCTGCCTCCCAGCAATTTGCCTCCTTGCAGCAAACAGCCCGCTTCAGCTTCAGCTTCAGCACAGCCTGATTAGCACAAGCAGCTGATTGTCGGTTGGATCGGCCTCCCGAAGATCAGCTGTTTCAGGCTGCAGGGATTGCCATAGCCTATTGCCGCCTCCATGTGCCCCATTTTCCAGGGGGGTGGGGGTGGGGGCGTCGGGGGGGCACGGAGCTACGTTCGGTGTATAAGACACACCCAAATTTTCACCCTCTTTTGGGGGGGGGGAGAGGAAGTGCGTTTTATACTCTGAAAAATACAGTACTTTGATTTTATTTTTTCCAGGATGCAAAGAATTCTGTAAGAGGAGGAAATGATTAGGTCTTCTTGGAATATATTCTTTGAACGAAACACACATTCCAACTCACCTGGCGAAGATTTAATTTGAAATGAAGAGAGCTTACCTTCGAGGAAGGTGATGAGGAAACGGAATAACAATAAGCTGGGAATTTGGGATGATGGCTGTCCATTCTTGTTTTCTGGTAGCCTGGAAGGAAGAAAGGTCCCCAGTAAACACCTGGTGAGTTCATCTTACTAAATAAAATGCTGCTGCAGAAACCAAATCTCTTCGTTTTATTTAAAGGTAAAGGTTCCCCTCGCACATATGTGCTAGTCGTTCCCAACTCTAGGGGGTGGTGCTCATCTCCGTTTCAAAGCTGAAGAGCCAGCGCTGTCCGAAGACATCTCCGTGGTCATGTGGCCAGCATGACTAAATGCCAAAGGCGCACGGAACGCTGTTACCTTCCCACCAAATGTGGTCCCTATTTTTCTACTTGCATTTTTTACCTGCTTTCGAACTGCTAAGTTGGCAGAAGCTGGGACAAGTAACGGGAGCTCACCCCGTTACGCGGCACTAGGGATTCGAACCGCTGAACTGCCGACCTTTCGACCGACAAGCTCAGCGTCTTAGTCACTGAGCCACCGCGTCCCTTACATTTGAATAAATACATTTATTTAACATTAACCTTTTAATTTAACTTAACTTAAATGTAATTTAATTAAATAAATAAAATGCTACGGTTCTCCAAAAGCCGGCTAGTTCTTAAAAGCATTTCCCACCCCTCTGTGTTTTTCCTTGAATGAGCTCCAAGGAATTTTACAGATTGTGGACAATGACATCCTTGTTGGTAAACTCCAAAACTTTTTGGGGGGGTGGGGTGGGGAAAGGATTTTTAAAATTCCCCTGGAAGTTTTCACACAAGCAAGATGGATGGGCCCAGTTATAGCGGTGGTGGGTGCACCATTGAAACACTGGAAGGACCAGGATGGAGAAAATCGATCTATGTCAGTGTTTCTCAACCTTGGAAGCTTGAAGATGGGTGGACTTCAACTCCCAGAATCCCCCAGCCAGCGCTGCTGGCTGGGGGATTCTGGGAATTGAAGTCCACCCATTTTCAAGCTTCCAAGGTTGAGAAACACTGATCTATGTAGTTGCTAAGAGTTGATTCCTGCTTGAAGGCATCTAATCAACGATCACATGAACCAAGGGTGTCAAACTCAAGGCCCTAGGACCGGATCCGGCCTGCGGGATGCTTCGATCTAGCCAGCGGGGTCACCCTGGAAACACCCTGGCCCGTGGTGCGTCTGCCGGTGAAAACAGAGCTCAGGAGGACCACGTGTGGCCCCTCGCGAGCTCAGTTTTTGCTGGCAGAGGGTTGCAGGATGCTGTCTTAGCTGAAAATGGAGCTCGCAAGGGTCATGCATGGCCCCCCTGAGCTCTGTTTTCGCTGTTAGAGGGTTGCGGGATGCTGTTGCAGCCCAAAACGGAGCTTAGGAACCTGTTTTCGCTAGCAGAGCACTTGGGATGCCACAGGAGCCCCCCGACTTGAGTGACATCATGCTGGCCATGCCCACCACAGCCCCCCGAGGTCAAACACAACCCTGATGCGGTCAGATACCTGACATAAACCCATAATTTGCCGCATTGGCGAGTGCAATTCACACCAACATTTGCTTATTATTCTATGCCTAAGAGGGGAAAAACCCTACGACGATAGGATTCCAGGGCATGACCCGGAAATATAGCATGCAGATTTATCTTACAGGTGAAGCTAATTCCACGCAGAGCGGTGGTTTTAACATACCTTTTCCCCCGAGGGACGAGGGATGCCGACGAATAAATGATCGAGAAAGTTAGCGCTTCGGCCCAAACCTAAAACAGTATATGGAAGCTGCAGGGCAAAATGTGCAGACTGACTCAGCTGTCCAGCTAGAATGCAATTAAAAAAAAAATGGCACGATGAATATCTTGCTTAAGGCCTTCCAAAGGAATGCAATTTTGCTACCAGTTGATTGCCTGCCACTAAAATTGAACTCTACATCTAAAAGAATCACGCAGTGACATTCGGCATTTATGCACGCAGGGTAAAAGCTCAACGCTCTTCGTGTCTTTTTTTCCCCATATATATATATATATATATTTTAACAACGAGCCTGTTTAAGCCAGAAACGGGAGAGTAGCGTTGCTTTCAGCTTGCACAACACGGACGGAGGCCTTTGTGTCCTTTTTCCATTTTAATGCCATTCGGGGTGCCTGTCATTACAGTGAAATTGGAAACGAAGCCATTACTTTTGAGCAGAAACATTTCTGAAATGGGTTTTTTGCTGTTCAACAATAGGCTTGATTATATGAATCATGGAACTGGATTTTGCTGATGGGCTTCTTTCAAGCCGGCAGGGAGAAGGAGAAACAGTACAACAGACCAACTAGGCTAAAAAAAAAACCAAAAAACCACAACAACCGACAACAACAAACACCGAAGTCACTTTGGAGATGAGTAAGTCACCTTGACCCATTCATTTCATCTTGTTACAGTTATGAGCATGACATTCTTCTGGGTCTCCTGTGCTCCAACACATGCCCATAAATTAAATTAAGCAATCCAAGATGACTTGAAAATTACAGCCCGATAAATCACAGCTTGGGCAATAGGTTGGAACTTACAGATAGAATTTTGTCTCTGCTACTAGGCAGCCTTATCAACCTTAATTCATTCCTTTTCTCTTTCTTTCCCCCCCAAATCATCTTTGATATTTCATGTGGAGTCATTCCACCTCCAATAGGAAAGGGCAACGATCAAGACTTTTCATGCATTGGACACCTGGTTGACATTTCAACTTGGCACTCATTGAAAGCTGTTGAGATTTTTATTTTTCTGGATAAACAGGAAGAGGTTTCCATCGGATCTTTGACTTATTAAAGTAGATCCCATCATGCTTAAAACTCGACAGCAGATCTTAAATATAAGCAGGTTGCTTTGCTGCAACGCCACCGTTCGCGTGAATGAATCTTTGATAGTGAATTTATTGCACATTGATTTACAGATAGTCCTCAACTTACAACCATAATGGAGCTGGGCAATTACGGTTGTATGTTAAGATGGTCTTAAAGCAGGTCACCCCATGGTCAGACCTGATTTTACAACCTGCTTTGTGGTGGTGATTATGTGAATGGAGCAAGTGGTAAAGAGAACATGTGGTTGTTAAGAGAATCCATTGTTTGCTGTGGTCTGATATGTGGCCATATGACTCCCTCTCTCTCTCTCTGTATGTGTGTGTGTGTGGTGTGAAAGAGAGAGAGAGAGAGAGAGAGAGGATGAGAGAGAAAGAGAGAGAGAGAGGAGAGAGAGAGGACAGAGGAGAGAGAAAGAGAAAGAGAAAGAGAGGAGAGAGAAAGAGAAAGAGAAAGAGAGGAGAGAGAAAGAGAAAGAGAGAAGAGAGAGAAGGAGAGAGAGAGAAAGAGAAGGAGAAAGAGAGAGAGAGAGAGGGAGAGAGGAGAAAAAGAGAAAGAGAGGAGAGAGAGAGAGAGAAAGAGAAAGAGGAGAGAGTGAAAGGGAGGGAGAGAAAGGAGAGAGTGAAAGGGAGGGAGAGAGAGGAGAGAGAGAAGGCGAGAGAGAAGGAGAAGGAGAAAGAGAGAGAGAGGAGAGAAAGAGAAAGAGAAGAGAGAGAGGGAGGGAGAGAGAGACAGAGAGGAGAGAGAGAAGGTGAAGGAGAAAGAGAGAGAGAGAGGAGAGAAAGAGAAAGAGAAAGAGAAAGAGAAGAGAGAAAGGGAGGGAGGGAGGGAGATAGATAGATAGATAGATAGATAGATAGATAGATAGATAGATTAAACTTCAAAACCAGGTTGTAAGTAGCTTTTGGAAGTGGGGGAGTGTCTATTGGCAGGTACAACAAATCAGGAACCAGGACAGAGTTCACACGTACTACGTATTACGAGCAACCCATACATAAGAATTGGATCTAACGGTCAAGGCGAATATAAGAGTCAATGGATTTCAAGGGGGACTGGACTTAGGTTTTTTACATTGGTGGAGAGACTCCAAACTAATGATGCATTTGACCCCGCCCTCGGCTCAACCTGGTCAATCTCCTACATCAGTCTGCACTTTGAACGGTAGCTAAGCAACCGATCATACGTCGAGAACTACCTGTATTTATTTCCATCGATACATGGCTGAATAACTACTGCAACCTGTGTATGGAGAGGTTATCAAAATTAGCAGTTCTCATGCACGGCATCCTCGCATCAACCTCACCACCTCTTCAAGTGGTTGTATGGGATTAAGTCACTGTTGTGTAAGAGATGGCCTACAAGCAAAAAAACCAAACCAAATGAAACAGTGATGGGTTCCAACTGGTGTTACCACTGGTTCTCTTCACGCACGGGCTTTGCGCGCGATCGCTCCGCGCAAGTGCATTAGGTTTCTGCCCAGCTGAGGTGCGGCAATCCACTCTGTTGCGCCTATCAGCTGGGCTACAAAATGAGAAATAAAGGTAAGTTTAACGTGGGGGTGGGCGGGAGGGTCCAGCTCCCAGTCAAAGAGAACCAGTTCGGCGACGTCTGGCTACCGGCTCGCCCGAACCGGCCCGAACCGGGAGCAACCCACCACTGAAATCAACCAGCATCTTTTTTCTCTCTGATATTGACTGTTTTAAAGTGAAAAGACTGTATTATATAAATAATCAAACTTCCATATGCAGGAAGATGTAAACATATGTTTAGAAAGCAGAACGACTACAAGGAGTTCCCAGTTTGGAACTCCTGGAATTCATCTCTTTCTTCACTTCCAGAAGATTAGGGCTAAGTGACAGGCCTGACAATTTCTGCCAGCTGGCAAGAGGAACAAGGTGCAGTGAAGTCTGGCATGTTTAATTCATATGCCAAGCCTTCATTCCGTATTCCAGCATGGTCCAGTGCCCAATTTGATTGAGTCCAGATATTCGTGCCAGGTGAAAATTGCAATTATAGCTGCCACAGCAAAGATGAAAAGTTAATATGGAGAAGAGCAATGCAGCGGCGCAGACCAAGCAATGCTCTCAAGCATCAGAATGGCGAACTTTATATCTGCTTTTCAGAAGAAGAAAAGACTTCTCTTGTGGAAGCCTCAAATCCTGGAAGGTTTTTCCGAAAGAGCCGGAAAGATAGGAAGCGCTATTGAATTAGTCTCAATGGTGTTAGGCATTAAGAGTTGTTAACCTAATTTTACGAAGCTTCTTCTCCGGTAACATTGTACTGTTAACTAGGGCATACAAAACCTTTGCCAGACCAATTCTTGAATACAGCTTGTCTGCCTGGAATCCGCACTGTATATTGGACATTAATACACTCGAGAGAGTCCAGAGGTATTTCACGAGAAGAGTCCTCCACTCCTCTGCTCACAACAAAATACCTTATGCCACCAGGCTTGAAATTTTGGACAACCTAGAACTTCGCCGCCTACGGTCTGACCTAAGCGTAGTACACAAAATTGTCTGCTACAACGTCCTACCTGTCAACGACTTCTTCAGCTTCAACCGCAATAATACATGGGCAAACAATGTAAGGGGTGTGCATAAGTGCACCAGCGTGCCTACCATCCCTGTCCTACTACCCCCATTTATTTGTACCTATTATCTCATACATGTTTGACAAACTAACTAACTAACTAACTAACTAACTAACTAACTAACTAACTAAACATAATTATGGACAGAAGAAGATAACAAGTCAGGTCGCGCCCTGGCTTTTTGTAAGATGTTGCTTGTACCTAGTTAAGATTATCTGTTCTTCTAACTTGATCGCTAACCTGCTGGTAATATCTCAAGAACAAGCCACCATCATTTCCCTTTTAGTTCTTTCAATTCACAGGTGATGTGGACTGAAGCTGGGATCTTCTATGCCAGGGATCTCCAAACTTGGCAACTTTTAAGACTTGTGGACTTCAGCTCCCAGAATTCCACAGCCAGCCAGGGTGGGAGTTGAAGTCTGCAAGTCTTAAAAGTTGCCAAGTTTGGAGAGTATATATTTTTTTGTTTCCCACCCACAGATCCTCTTATCAGTATCTTCCACAAGCATTCATAAGGAGTTCAACTAATTTCACATGGACATTTTTTAAAAATATTAATTTAGAATATCCAATAAACCAACTACCACAAAACATTCACCAAGACTTGAAATATGGGACAATGATCAACGATGAAAATGAGGGCAACTCAACTGAGGAGTTTCCGCACACAATACAAGTACCAAATAATGTTGAAGAGTCTATTAAAAAAACCCTTTTTGTGGAATGTCTTTGAAAGAATTCCACAAAGAGTCGTCCAATTATATGACTCTTTGATAAAAGATAAAAGTTTCCCCAAAACCAGCTGTGTCCCACTTTAGGGAATGGTGCACATCTCTATTTCTTAGCTGAGGGAGTCAGTGTTGTTCGGAGACGTTTCCACAGTCATGGGGCTTGTATGACATCATGCCGCAGCGCAAAGTGTGCGGTGAAACACACGGAACTCTGCTAGCTTCCCACCTGAGTGGTACCTATTTATCTACTCTGAGCCGTGGTGGCGCAGTGATTAGAATGCAGTATTGCAGGCTAATTCTGCCCGCTGCCAGCAGTTTGATTTTCAGCAGCTCACGGTTGACTCAGCCTTCCGCCCTTCTGAGGTTGGTCAAATGAGGACCCAGATTGTTGGGGGCAAGACGTTGACTCTGTAAACCGCTTAGAGAGGGCTGCAAAGCACTGTAAAGTAGTATATAAGTCTAAGGGCTATTGCTGTTGCTACTTTTGAACTGGTAGGTGGGCAGGATCAAGAACGGGAGCTCGCTCTATCGTGGGGTGCTCAGGTCTCGAACCCAGACTGTCAGCTTTTCCAGCTGATAAACTCAGCTTCTTAATGCTTGAGCCATCTCACCTCTATGACTCATTGATATCTACATCAAACAAAACCAATAAC